TGGGACTATAAGAGTGTTTTGGATGATCTGAATAAGTCATGGGAGGGTAGGCTTTCGTTGTGCTGTAGCTGTTATACTGGGGCTGATATTGAGGTTCGGGTTTGTATGGATAGACGTACGCGTGTTTGGACATCGGCGGTGATGGCGGAGGTGGGGGCGGGTGGCTATAGGGTTGGGGTTTTTTATATTCATAGTAGTCGTCAATTGGATACATAATAGACGGATGAGGATTAGGAGGCATCGGATGAGTGGGTTTGTAGTGCTTTTTGTTGGGCTTGTATTTCATATATTCTCGTGGATATAATGGCATCTGATATGAATATTTTTGTGGTTTATATGAATCATATGGTTTGGGTGGCGGCGGTGGAGGAGCGCTGTAGCCATAGATAGAGGCCGGCGGCGGGTATGCGTTGGCGGGCGAGTACTCAGGCGGTGGATATGAGGGCATCCTTTTTGGTGCACTTTTATAATAGTTGGAAATGTATTCACTTTTTGGCGTTTCGTGTGCCGGATAGGGATGACTGATGTATTCCAGTTGTGGCTCTTCATAGCCAGCGTATGGGACGGCTCCGGGACTGCTATAATAACCAGTCGGTGGTTCGTATTGTGGCCTTTGATATGCAGTTTCCAATGAAATCAAATCATTTTGACTGCTTTTTGCTGAACAAACGATTGGAATAATAAATAATAGCAAAAGGATCTGAAAGATTGGGAAAACCATTGCTTTTTAAATCACTTGTTTCTCATTGAAAGTTAATTGTCTCACCATTTTGTGTGATTAATAAATGTATTATTAAATGATTTATGAGAGAAAACTTTGAAAACACATGAAAAGTGATGAAAAGATGTGATGAATTAGAAACTGACGACAAGACTGAATAAATAAAAGTGACTTAAAGTAATCGGTATTTATATATAACTTTGAAGAAAGGATTGCGTCAAACGGTAAGTGAAATAATTAATGTCTTAAGACTCGCCCCAAACACTAATCAAAACCTCTTTTGTGAAGTACTTGTATTGGCTTTGCGTAACACTTTTGAGACAAGTTTTTTAAATAATGAATCCATCAAATCATTCACTTTCTCTTTTCTCACTATTGTTTTGTTTGTTTTGCAACTTATTTATAGACTATATTTGATTGTAATTTAATTTTGATTGAATTTTTTATTTGAATATTTTTTATGATAAGTTTTGGAGTAAGAATTTTTTATTTCTTTGACATTATTATAACAATGTTAAAAGATTTGCAATAGTTTAAGCACTTTTAAAAAATAATTATTGTGTTTTATGAAACTGAAATCTATCAAACAAATTGTGAAATTAATTGATAATCATTTGGTTATGTCAAACAATTTAGTTTATATGGAAAATCAATTAATAAATAATAAATTGTTAAACAATAATATGATATAATTTTTATTTAAACATTTAATCTGATTCTGCTGAAAATGTTACTATATTTTACAGTACATTTCAATTAATAAAAACCTAACAATATACAATTCTAGTTATATTCATAAGTGTTTTTAAAAATGCCTAAAATATTATTATGAATATAAAAATTCAATTTTCGTAAACCTATTGAATAATAAATTTATTTGAAAGTAAAAAAGCCAAAACTGGCGAAATGCAAATGAGAGCAAAATTATCATTTAGTCAAATGTATTGTTATAATTGAAAACATCACTTCCTATCCCTTCCCACCACCTGATCGTTGACCCACTCTTTCAGCCAAAACGACTCTTGTGATCAAATAAAGACATTTTCGTTCAATTAAAAACATTTATTTGATTTTCATAACAAATTATATATTAATTATAATTATGTTATTATCTTTACGGAACACATAGACTATTATATTGTCAGACAAAGGGGTAACCAACCCTTCAAAGATTGTTTTGATTATAATTTTAATGCCATAATTTATAGCTTATAAAACTTAATTTAAGCATTTTAAACATGCTATAATTTTGTAAATTTATGAGTTAGAATATTAATATGTAAAGTTTATATTATGACGAATCTAGCCCTAAAATCCCTTATATAATACCACTATAATTAATGATAATCTATGGCAAAACAGAATATAATTAGTAATATTTAATTAGACTATTATATGTCGTGTAATTAATCTCACAAAACCGAAAGTTTGAACGAAAGTCAATCTAATGATTATTGTGAATGTGATAAAATTGTTTGCCAATTAACAATGTTTTATTAAATACTAATTAATTTTACAAAGAGTTATAAAAGACAATAATATTATGTCGTGTTTTTTTTGTAAAACTTTTATTCTTTATTTCTTTAAATTTATAAAAATTATAAATCATCAATCATAAATCATATTAAAATATTCTACATTAGTATTTTAAAAGTACTTTTAATTGACAGTACATAATTTAATAAATTTTAATAGTACAATTGTAGTGTAAATTAAAGTCTAGACTAGTTAAGTATAAGCATAATAATTTGTATAAAACACATTGTTGCCATTGAATTAAATATAATATTTTCAAATGTAATCGATTATTATATAAATTAAATGCTTAAAATGGCAAAAATCCATATAAATTAATTCCAAGCGATAAATGCTTTTATTTATCAAATGGTTGACGAAATGAAATCGTATTTAGTTTTGAGTGACATTTAACACACACTGTATGGCATAAAACGTGCTTTAAATTCACTCAATATTCATTGAACTATCATTTTTCATAGCATATTGATTGAATTTGTGAGTATTAAATATTGTTATCATTAAATAATTGGAAATCTATGTTAATTTATTTGAAACTAATTTAAACCATATTTTAAAATTAACATTCTTTGAATGTCTGCATTGGGACAAAATAATGTCAATTTGACACAAATTACTGAATATCGTGACAATTAGTTCATCAAAGAATTTATTTGATTGTTATTATAATTTACTGTCACTTTATTTACCATTTAATGTTTGGCAAAAACTAGTGATAATAAAC